GCCTTTTACTCCACCTTGAGCTTGTGGAGGAAGAAGAGAACTAGACACCTTTTGAGATTCAAGGCCTAGTTGAAATTTCACCTTTGATTTTGAACCCCATTTTGTATCAGCACCTGCATCAATAACTCCATTCTCCACATTGGGGTTAAGTATAGCATTTTCATCAAAAATAACATCATGAGAAATAAATGCTCTTCTAATCACCGGTCCCAAACCTTGTATCCCTTAACACCCAAAGGATAGCCCAAGAAGAAACACTTTTTGGACCTAGGTTCTAATTTCCCATCATTTACATGTACATAACAAGGTGCACCAAACACATGTAAATTAGAATAATCAAAAACAGAACCAGTATATACTTCTTTTAGAGTCTAGAAACCAATAGGTGCAAATAGAGATCTATTCACCAAATAAGCTGTTGTAAAAACTGCTTCTACCCACAATTCTTGAGCAAGTTCGGAGTGAGAGAACATACATCTAACCCTCTCCATGATGGTCCTATTCATGTGCTCTACCACTCCATTTTGTTGTGGAGTTCTAGGAACTGTTCGAGGTCTAGCAATTCCTTCATTCTTATAATACTCATTGAACTCTTGGTTACAGAACTCAAGTCCATTGTCTGTTCTCAAACTATTGATTTTCTTGCCTTTATGATTCTCAACTAGAACCTTCCACTACTTAAAAGTGTGAAAAACTTCACTCTTATGCTTAAGGAAATAAACCCACACCTTCCTTGAGTGATCATCGATGCAAGTAAGCATATATAAGGCACGGCCAACAGACATCTTCTTAGAAGGACCCCAAAGATCAGAATGGATATAATCAAGAGGTTCTTTGGACTGATGAACTCTCGTATTAAAGCTTGCTTTAGTTTGCTTCCCATACAAGCAATGCTCACACAATTCCAAGCTACAAACTTTATGATCACCAAGAAGACCCCTCTAACTTAACAATGTCATCCCTTTTTCACTCATGTGACCTAACCTCATATGCCACAATTTGGTCAAGTCCTTATTTGATAATGAAGAAACAACATTAGTTGAACCAATAACTGTAGAGCCTTGCAGCACATAAAACTTTTTATCCTTCCAACCCTTCATGACCACAAGAGAACCTTTAACAACTTTCATAGCTCCACCTCCACCAGAAAAAGTGTACCCATTAGTATCTAGGGCACTCAAAGAGATCAAGCTCTTCCACATGTTCGAAACCTGCCTAACCTCTGTTAATTCTCTCACAACACCATCATGCATTTTGAGTAGAACCATACCAATGCCCTTCACCTTACAAGGGTGATCATCTCCCATTAAGACATCAGCACACTTAACTTCATTGTAAGTAGCAAACCATTCTCTAATGGGACAAATATGAAAAGAGCATGCAATATCCAAAATCCACTTATGCCTTGGTTTGACCAATGCCTCAGTCACTTAGAGAAAATCAACAAAACTATCATCAACCTCCACTACACTGGCTTCAGCTTGCTTTTCATTGTTGCTCTTTTGCTCTTGTTTTTGGTCTTGCCTTCTATTTGGACAATTCCTTTTAATGTGACCCTTTTCACCACAACCATAATAAACATAGGTTCTAGACTTTCCTCTAGACTTCGATCTAGACTTTGAGCAGCGATTCCCTTTTTCTAAAGTTCTTCCTCTCACAACCAAGCCTTCATCCTTGTTTTCACTAGTTGAGGCTTCATTCTTGGCTTTTAATTCTTTAGTTTTCAAGGCCTCCTTCACATTAGATAAAGAAATTGTCTCTTTGCCATAACACATGGAGTCTTTGAAACTCTCAAGTGATGGGTGTAATGATGCCAACAAAAGAATAGCTTGGGTTTCATCATTATTCTCAACACCACAATTCTCAAGACCAAGCATTACCTTGGTAAAAGCATTAATATGAGAAGTTATGGAAGTGCCTTCTTGCATCTGGAGTAGATAAAGTCTTTGCTTGCAATAAAGCTTGTTATGGAGTGATTTACCCATGTACTTCCTCTCCAAAGCCTCCCAAAGATCCTTAGCTGCGGTCTCCTTGACTACCTCATGTAAAACCTCATCACTAATAATAATTAAAGTGTCGAAAATGCTTTATCTTCTGCTTCCACCTTTTCTCTTTCCCCATAATACTCTGGGTATTCTCCAGTAAGTGCATAACCTGCACTTTGGTGAACCAACAGTGATTTGGCCTTAACACGCCATAATCCAAAATCACCAGTACCATCAAACATTGCCACTTTGAGCTTGATGCCAGTCATAGTGTATTTGAGAAGAGAGACCAAATACAAGACAACCTAAACAACTCTACAACTTCACTTAGGAATTTTATCAAACACCTAGTATGTGTTTGTCCAAAGCTCTGATACCACTTGTGAGTTGAATTAAGATGCACAACAGATAAATGAAGAAGAAAACAAAGTGTAGAAAAATAGCAAACACAGCAATTTACGTGGTTCACTACCACAATTTGTGATAGCTACATCCACAGGAGAAGGAGAACACCAAATCCACTATGAAATCAATGATTTACAAGAGATTTGAATAGCCTAAATCACTCAAACCACACTCCAATAGGAGTCCCTAGTACACCCCAGTACACCCAAGCTTACTCTACCCGACAAAACCCCTTTGATCCTAAAAGAACCACCTTGTTTTCTCTTATAGTGGCTGCTGACTAACTCTCACCCCATTTACCCTAAAAAAAAGCTCCTTTATATTTATAGGAGTACCAAAGGATAATATGGTAATTAAAGAGAGAGCCCAAAACGCACAGCATCACTCAAACATACTTGTAAGCCTTTAAAGACTACATTTTCTGGTATGATTTTCTGGTATATACTAGATTATGAACCTTCACTGGTTTCATAATTTGCTACCAACTTCATAAGGCTTTAACATGATTTCAAGGCATACCTCACAACAAGTTTAGAAAAGGAGGGATCACTTTTTATGTAATTTATTATCAAATGTACAAAAATTTATATACAATTTCATACATACCAAAAAAAGAAGACACTACACGATTTCATTAATTTAAGAAATCTATATAAACTAAGGGAAGGCTTTCATACTTATTGGTCAAATCTCTAAATGTAAAAGGATTCCTCACTCATTAGTGAGGGTTCGAATTTGTGCAACCTTCCTTCTCACCCCTTTACCCCCCACAAATTGAACTATTTGCCATGTCCCATTAAAAAAAAAAAAAGTTCTAAACTATAGTTACTCCAAGTGATGGCTCAAGAACTAATCCACAAGCCTTTAAGTTAATTAGAGGTGATTTTTATAAATATTATAATAAAAAATATTATAGTTATAATATCACTTAATATTGTAAATTTACAATATAATATGGTATTATATAATTAACTTTTTTTAATTATAAGTTTACTTGTAATATTATATCTCTAATCTCTAAGTAAAGTTGTTGATGGTGTGGTTTGCTTTGAATTTTTGTGTTTTAAACGAAGGTAATTTAATCGGTAAGAAGGTACAATTAGATTCTTTCGGAAAGCCATTTTCAGAAAGCCACAACTCATGGGTAAGATGACAAATAACTAGCAAATAATATTTCTGTCGAAACAAAATGGTGCAAGTAGATACTTTCAGGAGAAAACACAAATAAAATGTCTCACTTTCTTATGGAATTCATTAATCGAATTAGGAAAAAAAGAGGGAAAAACAATTGTAAAAAAGGTACCACTGTACATGTACAAGTAAATTGGACCACAATCAGAAAACATTTATAGCTATCTGAGAAATTAATAAATTTTTCAGATTTAGAAGACTGTGTTGACGCGCGAGCATATTTGTTACGCATTGATGGTGCAATCAATATTAATTAGGTAGAAAGTAATTAAGCACAAAAAACATCATCTGATGTTAATAAGTTTTCTATTGGTAAAAACTCAAGACCTTTAATTTTGTTTGGTCAACCAAATAACCAAACGTAGATGCAAGATTATTTGAGACTTCTCAATCTCAAATTAGAAATAAAAAAAAAAATTATAAGTGGTAAATAAGTGTATAAACTAATTTATTACTAATAAATCAAGTTTAATTAGCTTTTTTATAGAATATGGGGTGTTTGTTTTGGTCTCTTCAAAATAGCTGTTAGTTATTAATTTTAATTAAATAAATTAGATATTTTAAATCATAAATAATAATAAGTATCGATCATTAAATATTAAATGTTAATTATTAACTATATTGGAAAAATTAATGCAAACAACAACTATAACGGTAAGAGTTGTTAGTATAATATCAAGTTTAAATCCAAATCATTTCAATATCAAATCGGCTTTTATTATTATTATTATTATTATTATTATTATTATTATTATTATTATTATTCCTTTATTTGTGTGTTGATGGAAAGGGACAATGATGAACTGATAGCAGGGAAGTTCCAAAGAATAAAACAAGAAATTTGTGGGGTTGGGTCTTTATATGATCCCAACTTAGATCACCAAAACCCTGATAACCAGAGATCTTGATAGTAACAGTTCCATGTTCCATGGCAAAATTAAAAGCATCAAGCTCAGGATACAATGATTCCCCGAGAGAAGTCCTTAAGCATCCCCAGGGGGGACCATATATATTCATTAATTTCTCCCCAGATGATGCATTCATCACATAATCTGTGTGCAGAAGGATGCATACATACATGAAGATTCTGATTTTAATCAATTCTGGCAAATCCTGGTTGACATCGGAAACCCATTTTTATCATTGAAGAAGATAGTTTTGTGGCAGTTTGTAGGGCAATATATAGCTTTAAACTCTAAGGTAAAAGCACTAAATTAACTCTCACCCTCCCTTTAAAAAGTCACGAGAACCACTGTCCCTTATTGTTCTTTCAATTTTGATGGCAGAGGAAACTGATAGAGAACTTTCAAAGCACCCTTTTCTCTACCTTCACTCAAACTAGCCTCTATATTGCAGTCTCAAACTGAAAGTCTTATAATAATTTTCTAAAGCTTTAGTTATCTTCCACCATCACCTCATATTTTTCTGTCTCTCTGTCGGTACCATGTAAGTTCCCCCCCGGCCCCCTCCACATGATCTTCTCCTCATCTTTCTCCTAATTTCACTTTCATTCAGCTCTTTGTCTCTCCTCATCTCCTCCTCTTGTTTCTCTTTTCTTCCTTGCAGGAGACCCGAGACGAATCCACTAGACCTCAACAACTTGCCCGATGATTACACTAGAGATGGGAAACAGTCAGTTTTTGAGGAAGGCTCTTCCTCCACAGGTATTATACACATTTTCAATTTCCTTATACAACTGTGGGGTTCAATAGTGAAGCACATACACTATAATTTCCTAATTCTCTGCATATTTT